TTGCTTGTCTGCAAAATGTATATATGTTTATTTATATATATATATATATATATATATATATATATATATATATATATATATATATATATATATATATATATATATATATATATATATATATATATATATATATATATATATATATATATATATATATATGTATATATAATTAAAATTAAAAATATATAATAAAATAAAATTAATGTATAACTTTTATTAAAAACTCTTGCTCTTTCCACAAGCAAGCGCTTATATTTTTGTTATTTTTTATAATATACTAGTTTTAATATTATACTATATATAATATTTAGTATTATATTAAAACTAGTATATTATAAAAATAGATAAAGTTTAAGCGCTTGCTGGTAAAAAGAGCAAGAGTTTTTAATAGAAGGTATACATTAATTTAATTTTGAATTTTCTGCTTCCAAAAGTATGCGCGGTTTTAATTCCAGTTTTATATCCATTCATTTTAATTTTCAAATGTGTGATTTATAAAAGTTTTTTTAACGTCATACATATTTATATTATTTTTTATTTTTTATTTTTATTTATACTGTGTTACCATTTTAAGGTATTGTTTTATATAATAATTATAATACTTATAAATTATCATTAAATTAATCATTTTTAAGTGTTTGATAAGTGCTTAAAAAGTATTCAATTGCATTTGCTTTTTTTCTATTCAATCCTGGGATTTCCTGGGGACAAATTTCTCAATCCCGGGATTGAAAATATCCAGGATTTTTGCCATCCCTAATTTTGACAATTTAAATTACCATTTATCTTGAATTATTGCCATTAATTAGTGTGTTAATTATTGCGTTATATAATAATAATTTGTCCGTATTTTTGTTAAATATTAGTTGTGTAAAACAGGCGAAAATATACAAACTTCATGTTTTTTATTTGATGGTTATAAAATGTTGAACAGTAAACTTATAATCAAAATTTATAATGCCGACTTGTGTTGCTATTAATAGTACTTTTAATGCAAAACCAGGATCTCACATATTCTTTCACGAATTTTCATATCTGATACTACTGTCAACTGTATTGTTTAGTGTATTCTTGTACTTTTTTTATAACCTTAACAGGTTCTAATTAGTATGGAATTGCCGACATTTTAAAAGTTTCATTATCAAAAATCAAATGTAAAATAAAATATTTCCTTTTTATCCGTATCCAATTCATCAAATTTAGCAATTTAACACGTTGACCGCATCGTGTATCCATATGTATACACGCGTAAACTCTCGTTTCTTCAAGTCGTGTATCCATATGGATACACGATTTTGATAGTAAATTTATTTTTGTTAATTTTAAGTATTCTAATTTTTACTTGTTTCCAATTGTTTCTTTATATTTATCAATTCTTAAAATTTAATGGCGTTTAAATAGATAGCGTTTTAAGAAAAAAAACTTCGTTCAAATTATAAAAAACACTGTGGTAAAAGATAACTTTATTTGAAAAAAATAAAACAGAAAATAACATTAGAATTAAAAAAAACCGTTATAACAAAAAAATAAAATCAACATAATCAATAAAATCAACATTTAGTATGACATTTTTGAAAACAAGCTAAACAAAAAGGTTTTAAACAATTATCACATCTTGTCTTAATTTGACTAGCACGATTCCTGGCAATTGTGGCACCAAATTCTTTTGATAATTTGTTGTAGCATTCAGTACAACGTCGTTTTCGAATAGTTCCTTCTCCTGGTTCTTTTTCAAGTTGATGTTTTCGTCCAGAAGATGTTGGCTTTTCCAGTTGCAAAATTGATGAGACAATATCTCTTTTGAATTGTACAATTTTGATATTTTTTCCGCTATGTATTTTATAAAGATGCAGAGCATTAACAATGGAAACTTGAGTAATTATATGAAAAAAGATTCTGAGGTACCATTTCATTGTTTTACGTACGTATGGACAATAAGAGCCCAATTGGTCAGATAGATCGTTAAACGATTTCCCTTTATTGTAATCTACGATAACAGCAGGTTTTCCTCTCTCCGTAATGTTACCATCGTGAATAGACGAAAGCATTATAACTTCTCTTTTATCTTTCCATTTTAAAATCATAATACCATCACCATTTTGTTCTGCAACATAATCACCTTTCTTCAATTTCAGAGAAGTTACGTGTTTTGGAAATCCAATTCTATTTTTTCTGGCCGTCCCAACTAAGTTTGTCTTGTTTTCCAATAAAGATTTCGCCAAATTCATACTTGTATACCAGTTATCTGTATACAGAATTCTGCCATGTCCAAGAAGGTTTTCCATTAGTTTTAAAACTACACGTTCTGCCACAGAACCATATCTTGGCTGGTCCTCTTTACCGGCATAAATTGATAAATTATAAGTGTATCCGTTGTTGCTACACAATTTAAAGATTTTGATGCCATATTTATGCCTTTTACTAGGAATATACATACGAAATCGAAGTCTGCCGCGAAAGGGTATCATGCTTTCGTCAATGCATATATCTCTGCCTGGAACCAGTAAGTGTTGACATCTGGCAATGAACAAGTTGACAAATTTTTCTATTTTATATAATTTTGATCCATTATTGTTGTCATTGTCAGCGAAGTGGAGGGATCTCATCAAAGAATAAAATCTTTTCCTTGTCATTACACCTCCACATATTGCTTTACCGCCAATAGCAGGGTCAGAGGACCAATAATCATCGAGTTTAGGCAGAACAACATATCCCATTTGCAAAATGATAGCCATAAATTTTCGCATTTCCATATTATTTGTCGGCAAATAGTTTGAATCCTTTGTTGGTCCATAACGATTAGTTTCTTCCACAATAAAATCGATAAGTTCGTTGTTCATAAATAAGTTATAGTAATCGACAGGTTCTTTGCAATCCATTACCATATCCATATTCATGCCCGCAGTTCCGTCATCAAAATCCCATCTTAAAGGTTTCTGCACATTTTTCGACCATTCTTCTGAACCATCATCACTACCACCATCAGTTGATTCACTATCAGCACTATCGGATTCATCAGATTCGTCCTGTTGAATTGTTTCCTTTAAATCAGAATCATGTTCGTCATCACTTTGTAACAGCAACCTTTCAAAGCTATCGTTTAATTCAATATTATCATCAGCCATTCTAAAAAATAAGAAAAATTAATAGCTAGAAAATAATAAAAATTTACGATTGTATCAAAAAATTAGTAATATCAATCAAGTATTTGAGGAAAAAAGTTGAAAACTGTTAAGTTTCGACAGTCAAGTTTTCTTTCAGTCGATCACAATTATTTATTCAACAATATTTAAAGTCCATACAATTGCTGAACTGGTGTTTAGCAGAAAACGCTAGGTTTATATACCCGTTTATCGGCGTGCTGGAAGGTTCTGGAACATTTTGGAAAAATATATTTTTAAATATTTAAAAGTTAAATAGTTTAGGTTTTGAGAAAATTATTGTTCGAATGTTCAAACAAAAACTAAAAATTATTAAAAAAAAAAAACTCCTCTTTGACTTATTTGTGTATACATATGTATACACGAAATATTCAAAAAAAAAAAGATTATTTGGCAATGTGATTTTTTCAAAAAAAGGCAAGGCGGTCAACGTGTTAAAATAAATCAGCGTAATCAAAAAAATTTTATGATAAAAAAAGTTAACAATTCATCAAATATCTCTAATGAATACTGTCAGTTTATGAAAGTAATTGTTAATAAATACTTTTTTTCCACGGGAAAACAAAAAATATAGCGTAAAAATAACCAAAGAAGTTAGAAAAAAGTTCTCATTGTTTAAATAAAAATAAGTAAGATTCAGAATATATAATACTGCGCTCTCTTGTACAAAAACGAGAGACCGTATACATAATGTTCTTTATAATGTAAAATGCTTGTATGAAAATCATAAGATTCGTAAGTAAAGTTTTAATATTGGTTTAAATTTAAAAACAAAAGAATTATAAGTAAGATATATAAATCTAAAAATTATTAAGATATCGGTAAAAAAAAAGTTCCTCCTATGAAATAAAAAGCTTTTATTATTTTTGATTTTTACAAAAATTTGTTATAAAAGTTGTTTTGCTGTATGTTAAAATTTTTTTTTTTTAATTAAAATATAAAAACGCAGCTTTGTTTAATTACACTTTTCTTTTGTTAAAAATCTACCGTGACGTCAAATGCTAAAACTTTTATGAATTAAACGCGCTTCAAAGGAATCGCTAAAGTCTATAGATTGCGACGTATAATTTAAAGACTCTGAGTTATTGAAAAAAATGGAGAAGGCGAGCTTCAGCTAAAACAACAACATTAGTTTTTCTCGGTATGCATTCATTATTCATTTTTAATCAAAAAACTTGGTTCAAACCTTTTTTTTAACATTATCTTTAATATGAACACAACATGTGTTCATATTTGGGACCCTTTTAAGGTATTTACAATTTTTTTAAATTATGATATCTGCATATATCTTTTCATGATCATGATAGTACTTGTACTTAAGTGCTTGTATCCACCATTAATAGAATGCAAGGGTCACAAACAACCTTTTTTTTTTAATATTATACACTGTCATACAAAAATGTAGGTTAAAGGTGTAAAACCTCAACCTACATTTTTGTATGTCAGCACATAATATTTAGTTTTAAAGTTGTTTTCTTGAATGTCCACAATGTGGTTTGTCATTATCAATTCATTGTTGTTTTATTTTTTTAATTAAAAGTCTTCAAATCTTCCACTCTGATAAACCTTCGTTACACATCAGATACACCTCCGTTATACCTCTAGTTAAAAGTTTTTGTGTTCGACATATCTGTGTTTTTTTGTGAAAACGCACCTGCTTTTTTTGTGTTCAGAAGACCTTGTTCATTTTTTGTTCGAAGACCTGTGCTTTTTTGCGTTTAACTGATCTGTGTTTAACAAGAACTTTTTAAAAAAATTTTTATATTGTCTAATGTTTGTCTATAAAGTTTAAAATAAAAAAATAACATATGTATATTTGTACATGTTTTTCTATTTTAGCTTGCTCCTGAAGAGTATGATGCAACGCTGTCTAGAATAAACAAAGTTTTAGGGCGTTCATTGCCAACAAATTTACGGTGGTTATTTTGTGGCTGCCTATGTTGTTGCTGTACACTTGGAATGTCCATATGGCCAGTTGTTTTTTTAAATAAAAGAGTAAGGATATTTAGTTTTTTTAAATAAATATTATTCTTGCAGAATATTATAGTTTAAAAATGATTTTTTCATTTTTTACAATTATTTTAAATATTATTTTTACTTGATAACATTTTGATAACACCTTGAAATAAAATAAGATGCTATGGCTCTAAATCTTTGTTTTATATCTTGAGTACCTTAATAAAATGTCTTTATTTATATAAGTTTTTTTTAATGTAACTTACAATAAAAGATTAATTTATATTGAGAATTGTATATGTACACTGTTAAAAAAATAGCGTGTTTTTTACAAAAAAGTTCCGACAGCTGCTGATGACCAAACTACCTGTATTTTACCGAAAAACCCACCAAGTAAATGGAAGTTTTCGTTTACATGCTGGTTTTTTATTTCAAAAGGATTTTTTCCGTTAAAATACAATGGTTTTTTTTTCCGTTTAACAACGGGAAGTTTGGTCATCGCAGCTGCCGAAACTTTTCCGTAAATAAACGGATACTTCCGTTTAAATTAAACTTGTTTTTCCTGTTAAACAACGGAAAGGTTTTATTCATATGAAAATTTAAACAAACTATTTCTAGCAATTATATATATATATATATATATATATATATATATATATATATATATATATATATATATATATATATATATATATATATATATATATATATATATATATATATATATATATATATATATATTGATTGTATGTTTTTAAAAATATTTTCTGAAAACAAATATTCTTTGATTTATGTAAAATATATTAAAATTTTTGTGATTTACATTTCACTTCAATAGCAAATGCACAAATAAATTTAAACAACTCTGGATAAAGTTAAAAACTCTTTTGAGCAATAAATAAATACCTAGAAGAAATAAAAACTTTAATTGAAGTATGATACAAATAGAGGTTTTAAAGTGCAATGTAACCAATATCAGTTTGTTTGTCATTGTAATGGTGATAACCGAATTTCCTGTTTATGCCATTGTTGGTGCTATTTTTGTTAAATAAATATAAATTTTTACAACTTCTTTAAAATCAAATTCCAATAATTAATTACTAAATTTACTTACAAAATAACTCAACAATTTAACAATAAAACCCAAATTTTCTTTACTATAATAAAAACTTAATTTATCAAATTATTATTTTTATTTAATATAAAACCATTTCAAAAATCAAATTTAAAATTTATTAATAAAGATACATACTTAGGTCTAACCTTTAGCAAGCTGAAAAAAAAATTTAAACATAACTAAAATATAACAGAAAATTAATAATTTGTAAATGAAATAATTTTTACCTATCTGGTCCATTGTCATCACTAAAAAAATAAATATGAAATCAATTAAATATTTTTTATCATTTTTAAAAGTTATTTTTTGGTTCATGCTTAAGTTAAAAATTGTTAAAAACCAAAGTACAATACCTATCCTTAATACCTTTTTTTTTTTTTTTTTTTCTGCAGAATATTACTTTGATAGACTATAATAAAATGTATTTAAAAAGTTTTAAAAACAGTTTTATAATTTTGAAAAAAAAAAAAAAATTATTTTCTTCTTGTTCTAAATATAAATAATGAACTTATTGAACCCCTACCATGATGGATTTTGGAAAATTTTTGTTTTTATGATAGGGTACTCTCAGTGCTTTTTGATATTTATTTATGTAAATATATTTGCATTTTTGATCACAATCAGTAGAGTAGAATAGTTTTTCATTCTCTCGATTGCTCAAGGTGATAATGAATGTAAATATCCTTTTGAAACTTTTTTTAGATTAAACATTTTATCAATGTAACATTTAATTGATTTTCTTGGTATCTTAAAGTTTTCTAGATAACTCAAAAATAATTGTTGGTTTGTCTTTTTATTAATAAGCTTTTCATCTGAAAAATTTGACATAAATTTAGCTTTAATGTTTGATGCTAACGTTCAGCTTTTTTGCCATTTAAATCTTTTAATTCTCACGTTATTTTTAACTCTACTAATGGTGGTTATTAAAACTTTAATTGATTCCTTTCCTAAAAATTTCTTAATCATTCTATACGAATATCCAAGTTGTACTAACAAAAAAATATGTTCTTTAATATTTTTTTGAATTTTTTTTGTCAAAATGCTTTGTTTACATAAATCTTTTTTTCCTCAAACTACTGTAAATAAGTGATTAAATTATTTAAATAATATCGTTAAATATTGTTTAAATAAAAAGTAATCAAGATTCAAAAGTGTTTCCATTTCAATGTCACAAGACTGTATATGAACTACATCTTAATATCTATGTATATATATATATATATATATAATATCTAAATATCTATGTATATATATATATATATATATATATATATATATATATATATATATATATATATATATATATATATATATATATATATATATATATATATATGAATATAGAGATCAAACATCATCAAAACAAACCTAAAATTAAAAAAATTAGTTTACCTATAAGAGAATCCTCATCCTAGAATTTGTTATATATATAATTTAAAAAAAGCTAACTAAAAAATCTAAAATTATTTTTTATTGTGACAAGTTTGTATGATAAAATTTTACTTTGGTTTCCATAATAAAACCTTTTTGCAACGGAAATTTCTGTGTTTCAAAATTTATTTTAAAAGAAGGAAAATTTCCGTTCAATTATGTTAAATGGGTTCTTTCTGTACAAATAACGGAAAATAGTTCCGTAAAGTTACAGAAATTTTTAACGGTGTATGTATAAATATTTAAATATTTAAAAATAATTGATTGCTGCCCTACCCAAAACTTTAGTTGATGTTGCAACATTCTTGCATGTTCTACCTATTTAGTCAGCCGATGTATGCACTATATTATACCTATTTAGTCAGCCGATGTAGGCACTATATTATACCTATTTAGTCAGCTGAAGTAGGCAACTGAGTATTTCAGTATAATATCAAACTGCTCATCCAAACATGCATTATAAGTTAGAATTATTGCAACAGTTTAAGATTCCACAATAAAAGTATTTTTATAATTACAATTTTTTTAGCAGAAGATTTAATTGCGCATCATTTTTTAAAAAATTTGTTCAAATTAAAACAAATTTTAAATGATTTATCCCAATTAATATATAAAATATAATTCTTTACATAATATAAAAATTATTACATATGTAATAATTTTTATATTATGTAATAATTTTATATTTTTATATTATATTATTAATTATATTATATATATAAGCAAAATAATAAAAAAGCAGTTATAACATTGAAAAAGAATGTTTTACTTATTCAAATCTATTTTAAAAAACGCTTGATATTATAAACTGAATTTCAAATAATAGCTTTAATAGAAAGACAGCATTAACTAAAAAAAAATATTTAACACAGATTATTATCAATTTATTTTTTCATAATGGCATTTTTATAAGAAACATAATTTTTTTTTAGGAAACCAATTAGCCCGATCTAATTAAAATATATGCATTTCAATTGGTGCCCTTTTTTAATTTTTTTTTAGTTATTTTTTTTTTGTAATAACCTTGCGTCCAAAAATGTATTGCAGTTTATTATGCAATTATTGGTCTATTATAAAAATTACTGTTCTGGTATATCATCTGAAATACAGCAATAATGGTTTTCTTTTATAAACAACATTGTGAATTTAACCATATTGTTATTAATGCTGTAGTAATGTTACACAGTACTTCACACTTTAATTTTTAGGAAAAAAATCTCTGCACTGCATATCTGTATTTGAAAAAAAAAACAGGTTTTTATAGTCTATTATTACTTTGTATTAAAGTTATGTAATATTTATATTCATATTTATAATACTAAAATTCTGCTTTACTAAAAACAAAGCAATTGTTGTAGTATAAAATAACTTAAATTGTTAAGTCAACAAGTTGCCATTTGTTAAGTTAAAATATAATCTCAAGAATCAGTGATTGTTACACAAAAACAATTAAGAATTTGCGAAAGATATATGTTTAAACAGAAAATACCATAAAAAAGTGTTAACTCCTAAAAAAGGTCATTTCTCATGACACTTGATCGTATGGTGGGTGCCATAAATCACCAAAAATATTTTTCTCTTAATATATATTAAGTTAAGTCTCAAAAAAAAGAATTTTTTAGAGATTTCATTAATAACAATCTTTCTTTAATATGACCATCTAAAAGAACATTTTGTTGAAAAAAGTCTTTTAAAATACCTTTTTAAAACTTTTGTTTAAAAATTTTAGTTTTTTCACAATAAATTTAAAAAAAAATTCAAACTAAATTTAAAAAAAATTATATAAACTTCTACTAAATTTTGCTCAACAATATACTTTGGGAAAAAAGTATTTTGGGTAAAATATAGCACCCACCATGTAATTGAGAGTTTTTGAAAAGTTGACACTTGCAATTGGCATTTTTTTGACTCTTACATAAAGACTTCATAAAAAATAATATGGGATAATATTTTTAAAATAGTCATATCACTAATATATATTCTATATATAATATATATACTATATATAATATATTTTCGATATATATAGTCATATCCCTAATATATATATATATATATATATATATATATATATATATATATATATATATATATATATATATATATATATATATATATATATTTATTTATTTATATATGTTCAATAGGTTAAAGATTAACACCTGAGTGTATAATAAAGTCAGCATCTTTTTAAATAACAATAGTTTCATCTTTAATAAACAATTTTTTACCAAATTACAGGCATAGCCATGGGTCCAGATTTTGCACCTAATAATACATGTCTTTCCAAAAATTGATGAAACAAATGATGTAGTGAAATCTTCATTTTTGATTTATCAATTATGATTTTATAATCTGGCCAAAAAATTTGCATTAAAAAATTTGTTTATTACAGTTCTTTAACTGAATTAACTCGATTGGTTTTACAACAGATTTTGGTATGTTATTTACCAAAAATGATAATGCCTGTAAAAAACTTCTCAGATATAGCTAATAAAAGAATGTGGTTACTGAAAATAATTACTTGTGGTTACTGAAAATAATAACAGTAATTGTCCATTTTACATTAAAAAGAATATTCCTTAAAATTTTGCTAAAAGAATATTTGTTAACTTTTTGTAACTGAAACAAACTTTTTTCCTAAAGTATCTAATAAAAGAATTGCGGTATTGGTGTAGTGGTAGAGCGCTCACTTCATAAATGAGTGGTTCCGAGTTCGATCCCCACCACGTCCCTGGTAGTACCACGCTCAACTCGTTTCTCCGCGCAGCGGCCTTGTTCATCAAGGCTCGTGTTTCGGAGTTATAGAGTTGAGAGAGGGTTATAACCACAAATAAGTAGCCTCCTCTTCTGTAGTGGCCTTCTCCGCCTTAAGAAAGTGAATTAAATAAAAATAAAAAAAAGTTGACATAATTTTTTCTAAAATTCATCCAGTATTGACTTTTCAACAGCCTCTATATTTATTAAAAAGATTTTCTTAAATATTGTAGTAACTAACAAAAATATTGGATTGTCTAAATGCAAAGATATTTAATGCAAAGTTTGCAAACTTTTCAGTCTTCAAAAGTCAAAATGTTTTAAACATCTAATGGGACTGTTTGAAAAATTAAAAGCCTTATTAAATGTAATAGCATAAAACTTATTTAATTTTTTAACTTTAAAATTCTACTATTCCTAAAAAGAAATATCTTTTTAGGGATAGAATTTCATTGTTGTGGCTCCTTGTGCTTAAAGAGTTGAAGCAATACACAACTGATGGTTTTTGGAAAGCCCTCTTGATCTTATTATTTAAATAATAATATACATGTATTTTTTGAAATTAACTTTTAATTTCAATCCTTTTGAAAATTTTTTTAGTTTTTTTTGTTTGTTTGTTTACTGGTTTGATAAAAAGTGAGCATTGGAACCTCCCTTACTTATTCATCCACTTAAAAAAATTTGAGGTGAATTGAAGCATTTTTTAAAAAATTTAAAAATTATAATCATTTTATGTATAAATTTTTGGTTTAATTTTATGGCTAAAAAAGTATATTTTTTTTAACAAAAAAGTTAAAAAAGTACATTTGTTTAATATTTTTATAACAACAATTTCTTTAATTTGTGTTTTTATAAATTTTTATATTGTAAAAATAATTATAGATTTTACCATGAAAAAATGACATTTTTAAAATTGAAAATTAAAATAAGTTAGATATTTAAATATCTATATGTATATACATTTAAATATGTATGTGTATATATATATATATATATATATATATATATATATATATATATATATATATATATATATATATATATATATATATATATTTAATTTGCATTCAATCCCAACAAGGTGCAAGCAACCGCTATTAAGTTGGGAGTTACTAGGAAAAAAAAGAACAGAGTTATAGAGCAAGGAAACGGTTGACAGAAGTTGAAGGTTGTACGAGTAAGGAAAACATGAAGATGGGAGAGAGTTCCAAAGGATTGAAGTGCTGGGAAAAAACTAGATGAATAAAAGTTTTTAGAACATGCAGGGACAGATACAGTAAACGAATGAGACTTAGCTGAATGACGAGTAAAACAAGAATGAATTTTAGTTGATGATTTTAGTTGAATGAATATTAGTTGAGAATAGTTGAATGAATTAGTTGAATGAATTAGTTGAATGAATTAGAATAGTTGAATGAATTAGTTGAGAATAGTTGAATGAATTTTAGTTGAGAGATGATAACTCCTTTGAGCAGTGACCATGATAGTAATTGTAGAAAAATTTATCGTTATTCTTGCATATTTAGATCAGCACTGTATTCTCCTACACTATAACTCCTAATATATTTTGCACACTTGAGGTTTAAAAATACTGACTTGAAATCTAACTAATTTTTCAGGAAAAAATAGAGAATAATGAAGTCAAAGTTTTTTTTTGCCTCAATAAAAAGTTCTTTATATCAGATGATATCTGCATAAACCCTCAGTCAATGTGTGTATTGAAGCCCCATTGACATCTCTATATTATATGCGTATGTATGTATGTATGTATGTATGTATGTATGTATGTATGTATGTATGTATGTATGTATGTATGTATGTATGTATGTATAAATTGATCAAACTGAATTGAATTTTTTTAGAAATTCCTCACTTTTAATTAAAAAATTTTTAATGTTACATTATTAGTTTTATTTTTCAGACCAGACATCAGCTTGAAAAAATTATTGACTCAGAAAATCGAAATTTATATCACAAGGTATTTATGACATTTTACATTATATTATGTATTTTGTTTACACTAATACTCATAAAATGTTCTTGAGTTTGTTAATGATTATATTTAAAAAAGTCTCAAAAATCCTGTTTCACCAATATCTATAAAATAATATTTTATCCATACAAAACTTTACTAATACTTAATGTTAAGAATAGTTTTGGGAATGGTATGTTCTGCCAATATCTATAAAATTAAATTTTTATCAAAACAAGCAAATTTTCTTGGTCAATACATTAATAAAAACCATGGTAGTTATATCTCCTTTATGTATGAGAATGATGAATCCCTCATGGGCTTAAAGCTTTTTATCTTATAAAGGCCTTTTGAAAACAATTTTTTTTTTCTAAATGATCAGCAAATAATTTTATATTCACTTAATGCTATCACAAATTAATTTTTTTAACTATCTGTTATATATAATATTGAATTTTAGCCCTATCATATGTCTTATGTCAGCTTCAAAAATAATAATAATGTTTTTTATTTTGTCACATAAGTTGTTTTTATTGATTGTAATAAATTAAAGAAACCGTATCAAGAGTTTAATTAAGATCATGCTAGTCAGATCGAAACTTGCGATCCTGATCCAGTCAGATGTGAATTCGCGAATCTTTGAGATCCTGAAATTATTTTTAGAAAGGAAGTCATGATCACTGATTTTAAAACTATTTAGAATGTCCAAGAAACTCCAAGAATTTTTCATTTTTTCTCAAAAATTCTGGTTTTTATAAATTATATATATTTTTTTAAATAATATTAGTCTCACAGTCAAAAATTTAAAATTTAGAGATACTATATTTTAAAGGGCTCAAAATAGCCGCCAGATATTGAACATTGTCTGGCACTTGTTCGGTAAAAAATGACATAGATTGTGATAAAAATAACACAATGACACAATAAAAAAACGACATTATAGATGTCGTTTTTTATTGTGTCATTGTGTTATTCTTATTGTGTCATATGCCATTTTGTCCGACCCATATTTTATGTGCATTTATTTTATAATTGTTTTAGTTGTTCCAAAAATGTTAATAAACTCTCAGTATTGTTTAAAACTTCATTTTTTGTACATTTTATTTTGTTATACAAAACAGAAAATGAAATTGAACTTATGTCAATAAAAAACGTCATTTTTTTGAGCTAATTTATTTTTTAAAAGACTCCACAGTGATTTAGAAACACCTATAATTTGTCCAAAATAAAGTTTTTGAGTATCGAAATCTAAACAATATTATTAGTTAACTATTTTCTACAGTTTCTTCTAATTCTAACGGTATAAAAAAATTTGTACTGAAATAATAGATTTAATTATTAATTTTTGTTTGAAAATGACCGAAAAATTTTTTCATTAAAATTTTATCATTAAAATTTTATCATCGTTAAAACTTAATTTTCTCCCTAAATACAAAACCTTTTATTTTAATTTTCATTATATACAAAGATAATAGATAGTTTTATCTTAATTTATAAACAAATTTAAATATGTATTTATACATCTTATAAAAAATGCATTTAAAAAATGAAATTTTTATGAGTTTAAACTGATTGTTATAGTGCTAGGACTTTTTACCTTGAACTTTCTTTGCAAAGCCAAATCTTTTTTTAAAGAGAGTTTGTATCATTCTGTTAGAATCTAAAAAAGTTAGCTGCCCCAACTTGCCCCATTTTGAAATAATGTGGTTTTAAAAAGTTTATTTTATAAAAAATTTAACGATGTAAAAGCTAATACGGCGTTAATTAACTTCAAATTTTATGTATTGAGAGTTTTTCCCGACCTTTCTGAACAAAACTTTTTAATATATATATATATATATATATATATATATATATATATATATATATATATATATATATATATATATATATATAGAGAGAGAGAGAGAGAGAGAGAGTTTATTTGGGGATACCATTTTTTTTTTCCAGCAATGTTGAAAGGGGGGGGATTATGTTTTTGATTTCCCCTCCCCCTCATTCTCCCTTAGTTAAACGGGTGCCGCAACAATAATTTTTAATCATCATTTTCTTAATAATTATTTACGTTTATCTAGTTCAGTTTTATCCTATAACAAGGTGTTAATTTAAAGGCATTTTTTGAATACATGAATTTACTGGTGGAAGATGTTTCTTTAGGTAAAAGAAAACTACTTTACTTAAGATTTTAATAGACGCTTTGTTTGCATATACTACACTATATGTAAATAATTATTGAAAAATTGTTTAAAGTATTTTAAACAGTTATTAACTATATTTCAGTAAATTTAATTTAAAATAATAATTAAAAATAATCTAAACAATTTTTAATCAATATTTACATTACAATAATATATTTGCATGTATTATATTTGTAAAATTAACAAAATAGTTTTACATCTTGTATTTGAATTAAAAGCTTAAGCATTTAATAAACGAATTCGATAAACGTATTTAATAAACTATTCGAATAAAAACATAAGCATTTAGTAAACTTATTTTCTATTATTTTAAATTTAAAATTTTGATTTAAATATTAGTAAATTCTGTTCATTTATCTTGTGATTTAAATATTAGTAATATTTTGTTAATTTAATTTTTAGTAAAGGTTATGATTTTTCAAGTGATTTTAAGGCGCCTTTTAAATTAAAGATAATTCAAGACATAATTACAGTAAACATTATTTTAAAAATATTCTATTATTTTGATTAGAAACCATATTATATTTTTTAAAACATATTTTAAAAAACATAGTTTTTTAATTATTAAGAATAATTTTTAAAATTACATTTGAACAAATAAATTACATTTACTATGGGTTATTTTAAACAGATCTAAATAAATCTTAAAGTTATTGAAACCTTTTTTTCTATTATTTTAAAAAAATATTGAAAGGAAAAAAAATTGTCTGAAAAAGTTTATACTTCGTTTTTTCGTTTTCCTCGCATAAACTAAAATAGCAAGCTAAAGATCAAAAGTTCATTCATTTAAAAGTTAAACTTGCGCGCTAGTTACCAGGACTAATATTTTTTTTAATTATGTTCATTTATTATCAAAAGTAGTTTTCTCTTAATTGCCAAAAACAAAAATTAACCCCACGCTGATTGGATATTTAAAACACTTTAACTTTCAAAAAAGCACATCTTTTATACATTCCATTGTTATAAAATTTTGCAATGTCGCACAGTGAATCAGCTCATACAATCTAGGTGGTCAAAAGTCAATTCAAGGAATCAATTAGTAGATATTCCCAAGGAATCAATTAGTAATATTACTGAACACTCCCTAGAGAAAAATTCAAAATATTAATTAGTGTACGCGTTTTTAAGTGTTAAATCATTAGCGTTTAAATGTCACTTAAAGATAAACATATTTTTGTAAAAAAAATTAGCTGCTATTTTGCTGTGAAACAATAACGTATAACTATTTTATTGTAAATAATAACTAACTCTGCTGTGATGAATTTTACATTAGAAGGTATGTACTTTGTATTTTATCGAAAATTTATTTAAAATAATTGTCATAGATGATATTCTGTAGCTTTAAATAAACTATGTTAAAACTGCAGGTTTTTTTTTTTTTTTGTTTTTTAATTTTCAAAGCGTGTAACTAATTTTATCCAAATATATCCAGGCTGATTTTTTTATATATTATAACCACAACAATAAGACGTCTAAATATAAAAATTTGGCTGCTCGCGTCTGCCCATTTCGTTTTTATTTAATTTTCTCCAGACCAAGTGTATTATATTACAAAATTGGAGTTATTTGAAGAATGCCAAAAACATGCAAAGGAAGAACGAAATTCTCTTTTGTGTGAATTTATTTTAAAAGACTATACTACAGAAGATGTTACAAGTGAAAAAAAATACTGTTAAAAATGGCAAGCATATCTGCTAAATTTGCGCAAAAGTGGAATGCAGCCAATAGAAATATAGATCATTTTTTAAATAAAAATAAAAGTTGGTTAGAGGGCAATAATTTAGAATTTAAAATTAATTTTTATCGGTCCTATGCTTCTACGACATCTGAAGGAAGCCGGCCTCAAATCGGCCAAAGAAAAACTTTGAAGACTCATCTTTAAAAACCAAAAGATGTAGAGTTGAAGACTTATTGCAATCTCGGAGTGCCAATGAATTAACAACAGCTGCAAAAATAGCACATCTTTTGTCGGGTCAAAGAAACGTAGCTACTTCTATTAGAAAATGTACGGAAACCTTAGAGTGAAGAAAATCTACAGATGTTATTTGTGGTATCAGTCAGTTGAGTAGCGATGAGGCACTTGCTTATTATGTAGATTCCAAGTGTACTATTCACTCTTATAAACAAACAAGAAAGTGGTCAATGAAAGCAGGGTATGAAGTGTTTCTGTCTTAATTTAATTTATGTAAATCCAAAAGGTTGTGTTACCCTCTAGAAGAATTTATTTCTATCTTCCGCTGAAATTAAACTTCAAGCCATATTGAACAAAACAAGTTAACATTTAATTGAAACACTAAGTCAATTTCCAAAAAATTCGTCCTTTAATTTGTCGCTTACATTAATAAGCAAATGGGGCAAATGTGACGGAAGTTCTGTCTACAATACCTTTAAACAAAGATTTGAGAACTCCGATGCTAATGATGATTTTCTGTTTGTGTTTGCGTTTGTCCCGTTGAGATTGAGTGATGACTCTAATACTATTATTTGGCAAAATCAGCCAAATCGTTAACACTTTATTGCCGACCAATTAAATTCATATTTTCAGAAGAAACACAGGAAACTGACAAAGTTTTAAAAGAAATATCTGAACTTCTTCCAACACTGTGTAATATTGGTGAATTTAAATTTATTGTGAAACACAATCTGTTACTTACAATTACAGACGGAAAAGTATGCAATGCTTTAACTGATACGCGCTCTACAAAAAAATGTAATATTTGTAGTGCTACTTTAAAAATGATGAATGGTGAATTAAAACGTATGGTTGATAAAAAAGAAAATTACAATTTCGGTCTTTCTACCTTGCAT